CAATATTCCCGCAATATCACGGCGGGGAACACCAGAAATGGGCTTCACACATTGTACCCATTTGGGGAATCCAACCCGAGTCTTCGGCGTGACGAGCGAACGCTTTAACCGCTAGGATACCCCACCGCCCTTTTGGTACATTGTGTCAAGCCTATTTCTGGTGTCCACCATGATACTGCTACAGGGTTATGAAACCAAACTCACTCACTCACTGACACACTCTCTCACCCACTCTGCTTATGCTATGGTTCCCGTTTCAGTCTCATGAGTGAGTGAGTTTGGTTTTATGCTGCTTTTAGCAATATTCCAGCAATGTCACCACGGGGGACACCAGAAATGGGTGGTCTCACACATAGTACCCATATGGTGAATTGAACCCATGCCTTTGGCTTGATGAGCGATCACTTTAACCACTGGGCTACCCCACAACCCCTCATTAGAGAGAGTAACACTGTTCTAAGTCAGTGGTGTGTAAGACTGAGCTGCTGATGCTGCTCTCATGACAGAGAGTTATTGGAAACTGGTCACTTTCATGTGTCAAAGGGCGGTGGGGTGGCCCAGTGGTTAAAGTGTTCACTCATCACGCTGAAGACCCGGGTTCGATTCCCCACATGGGTACAATGTGTGAACCCCATTTCTGGTGTTCCCCGCCATGATATTGCTGGAATATTGCTAAAAGCCGCGTAAAATCATACTCACTCATGTGTCAAAAGATGAGAGACACACACTGGATTAACAAGGATGGAACTATTGTGATTGACCACATATAGATCTTTGATCACTAAATAACCCACCTTTAAACTCAGTTCAGTAGTCCAACTGAATCTAGCAATAATAGCCATATTTCAAACATGTTTCCCAATTTGACATTGGGCTGTTTCCTTCCTGATTGTTTCAATGTTTGTGATTTGTAGTATGTTTTGATGCTAAGTTGCAGTACAGTGAGAATCAGATGATAATACTATAATGTACAAATTGATGGGCCTAAGTGTATGTTGATATGTAACATGTTGCTTCCGATCACTTTGTGGAACGTGGATGTCGGGTTAAACACAGAACAGTACAAAGCTGTTCCACACCTAACAAAGGATCACACATCTCCCTAAGGTGAAACTGCATGCAATAAAGGTGAGGTGAGGTGAATTGGGTTTAGCGTCGTGCTTGAGAATATTTCGCTCATAGGACGAAGGGCATGCGTGTGTATGTGTATGTGTATGTGCGGCTGCTTGTACTAGCCCAGACTAAGGCTGGTTTTATAGTGCTAGCCCACTGAGATACCATGCCGCAGTGAAGCATGAATTCCCCACTCAGACACATTATACTGACTCCGAGCCGACCAGTCCTTGTACCCATTAATGCCGAGCGCCACGCAGGGACCAACAAGTACCATATTTAAACGTATTTTAGTATGACGCGCTCTTGGATCGAACCCGCGACCTTCCGCTCTCCGGGCGGACGCTCTAACCACTACACCACGGAGACAGTCTCTTGCAATAAAGAGATTGATAGTCAGATTTTTGCGAACATCCTTGATAACCTAAGGTATGATGATCAATTACGATGGTCAATACCCTGGAGCCTTTGGCTACTCAAATAATCAAATTACTCACAGACTCTAATGTAAAGGGATACGTCCAAGTCAAACTTTGTGACAGATGAATTCTACCGGAAACAAGGGTTTACAGCAGACAGTAAAGGAAATATCCCAGAAAATCGAGAATGTGTTTGTGTTGATATCGCATCAATGTATACGTTACTTGTGGAGTCGAGGAGATGCACAACTCTTGTCCTACTGTCAAATGACCCTCTGCGATTTACTCCCTGTTAACCTTCCAACAAAGAAAATGCTTAGTTTGCACTTTCATGAATGATAACGGGACAAAGGGACGAAAAGGTTCCAAAATATTTCTTACTCTGCCCTCTGACAAGGATTGATTCCCATGAAAAGCCATAATTGAACTCTGTTGTAATGTTTCCAGGGAGTGAATCATAGGTATGTATTAATTAATGGTCTTGGTGTGTTCCGCAAAGTGATCGAAGTGCTACAACTATCCTAAGTGTATGTTGATACATAAAGTATGTGGGTTCCCAACACTGGAATGTGGCTGTGAGGTGTTAAAAATGAACAGTACAAAGCTGTTGCACAGCTAACAGAGGATTACACGTCCCTAAGTGAAACTGCTTGCAATAAAGTGACTGATAGTCAGACTTCTCTTTTGCTTTATTTAGACGCGTTCCACAATGCGGTCAGAGCGCTATGACTATTCAAAGTCTGTGTTAGTATGTATAACGTGTGCGTTCCGATCTTTGTGGAACGTGGCTGTTGGGTGTTTAAATGGAATAGTACAAAGCTGTTCCCGAACAGAGGATCACACATCTCCCTAAAGTGAAACTGCTTGCAATAAAGTGATTGATAGTCAGATTTTCTGTTGCTCATTTAAAGCTATTGCGTGGTTTGGTTCAACCATGCTTTGCAGTCATGACAGCAGATCGTCTTGATGAGTGGCGCACTTAGAGAGTGAGTGAGTTGGGTTTTACGCCACTTTTAGCAACATTCCAGCAATATCACGGCAGGGGGACACCAGAAATGGGCACCACTAAGAGAATCAGGTCTTTATCACGTTAGTCTGTTCTATGAAATAGAGAATGGTTCTGACAAATCGGTGAACAGACCTCATGTGCTCCCCAGTGCAAGTGTTGTCTGCTCCACCAGAGACGTCGCCGTCGATGACGATGGCTTCTGGCGTTAGAACTGGTCCCCGAGTTTGTCATCTTGCATGGATGCCGTAGAACTGTTCTTGCTGGTGCAATTAAGGTATGGTACAAGTCGCTTGCTGGAACCTGTGTCAGTTCATGCTCGCATTGGTCTTGATGTGGGGTTGTTACTGGTGGGCTTCACACATTGCAACAGTTTTAGGAAAATAATTTTAAATCGCTACGAGTTTCAAAACAATAATAATATATCTATATATAACTTATCTACTTTAATTGTTAACATTGGGCTTATAGTATGCAACTACCCATACATTGTCTACGTGGGCAATAAAAGGCAGGATCACCTTGCTTGTGAAGTATTGAGATGTCGATCAACTTTTTGGTTGCCATAGTCAATAATAAAGTGTTAACAAGACATAAAAATAGACAGTGCTTCCAATCCTCGCCACTCCCTCTAGAACATACAGGACAATCAAGCGTAAATATCGATGACACTTGTTTACACACTATATGTACCTAATGCTTGATGCATGACAGTACCAAGAAACAGTACTGATCCACAAAGTTGAGGTGATCCTACCTACGATATGTTAACAAGGGCTTAGGACCATCGCAGCTTTTTGGACAATGACTCTACACTGAATTAACACTGTCTGTTCTTACATTGTATTAAGTGCTGGAAGACTCACAAGAGTTGGCTACACACTCCTTCAAGACGCCTGCTCTTGGCATACATCGAATTGTAATACATTTTATTGTTTCCATTGGGTACATCAGAATAAGATATCCCTAGAGAAAATGAGAATGATAGTGTCTCACTTTTAGTAATGACATTCATTTTATTTGTAAAATACACCATATATTTCTGCCAATAAATATGCTCCTGGAGGTTCATGTAAGTGGATGCTTTACTTCAGTTTTGTTGGTAATCATTGTCTCACAGTCAGTTGTCACACAAATAGCTGATACAAAGGTAGTTGTCACACAAATAGCTGATACAAAGGTAGTTGTCACACAGGACATTGTTCCACAGGCAGTTGTCACATAAACGGTTGTCACAGGCAGTTGTCACACAAACGGTTTTCACACAGGACATTGTTGCACAGGCAGTTGTCACACAGGACATTGTTGCACAGGCAGTTGTCACACAGGACATTGTTGCACAGGCCGTTGTCACAAATGGTCACACAGGCCGTTGTCACAAATGGTCACACAGGCCGTTGTCACAAATGGTCACACAGGCAGTTGTCACACTGGACATTGTTGCACAGGCAGTTGTCACACAGGACATTGTTGCACAGGCAGTTGTCACACAGAGTTGTCATACATGCTGTTGTCACACAGTTGTCATGCATGCAGTTGTCACACAGTTGTCATACATGCAGTTTGTCACACAGTTGTCATACATGCTGTTGTCATGCATGCAGTTGTCACAGTTGTCATACATGCCGTTGTCAGAGTTGTCATACATGCAGTTGTCACACATGCAGTTGTCATAGTGTTATAATACATGCAGTTGTCACACAGTGTTATAATACATGCAGTTGTCACACAGTTGTCATACATGCAGTTGTCACACCTAATAGTGTTATACATGCAGTTATCATACACACAGTTGTCACACATGCAGTTGTCACACCTAATAGTGTTATACATGCAGTTATCATACACAGTTGTCATACATGCAGTTGTCATACCTAATAGTGTTATCATACATGCAGTTATACACAAAGTTGTCATACATGCAGTTATCATACACACAGTTGTCACACATGCAGTTGTCACACCTAATAGTGTTATACATGCAGTTATCATACACAGTTGTCATACATGCAGTTGTCATACCTAATAGTGTTATCATACATGCAGTTATACACAAAGTTGTCATACATGCAGTTATCATACACAAAGTTGTCATACATGCAGTTGTCATACACACAGTTGTCACACATGCAGTTGTCACACCTAATAGTGTTATACATGCAGTTATCATACACACAGTTGTCATACCTAATAGTGTTATCATACATGCAGTTATCATACACAAAGTTGTCATACATGCAGTTGTCATACCTAATAGTGTTATCATACATGCAGTTATACACAAAGTTGTCATACATGCAGTTGTCACACATGCAGTTATCGCACAGACAGTTGTCACACATGCAGTTATCGCACAGTGTTATGTGTTCATTCATAACTTGAAATTAAATGTTAACCAGAAATCAGTCCCAAAAAGAATTTGGTATAAACCCAACAAACGGTAAAGAGACACAAAACCAACATGATTTCCTAACTGTTTATTCCCTTCAGAATTACACATTTGGATGGTAGCCATCCTATTCACCACGAGTCTTGGCCGTTCTCTTAAGTTGTACCAGATGGCCTGAAACACAAGGAGAAACAGCATTACTACCATCAAATATCAGCTTTGCCATGAATTCTACTGCAGCCATCATGCCAGTGGTAAAGTGTCCTAGCAGTACTGCATATCAATGTAACTGTCATGACGATATTAGTGGTGAAGTGTCCTAGCAGTACTGCATATCAATGTAACTGTCGTGAAGTGTCCTAGCAGTACTGCATATCAATGTAACTGTCATGACGATATTAGTGGTGAAGTGTCCTAGCAGTACTGCATATCAATGTAACTGTCATGACGATACTAGTGGTGAAGTGTCCTAGCAGTACTGCATATCAATGTAACTGTCATGACGATACTAGTGGTGAAGTGTCCTAGCAGTACTGCATATCAATGTAACTGTCATGACGATACTAGTGGTGAAGTGTCCTAGCAGTACTGCATATCAATGTAACTGTCATGACGATACTAGTGGTGAAGTGTCCTAGCAGTACTGCATATCAATGTAACTGTCATGACGATACTAGTGGTGAAGTGTCCTAACAATACTGCATTTTAATGCAACCGATACTCGGCAAATACCATGACTAGGAATTGTAAGGCTCCTATTATGGAAATTTTGGGTCTTAATACAAAAGAGAAAAAGCATTACAACCATCATCAAATAACACAAATACAATCTTTGACATGATAACAACTGTTATGGCAGAAATCCTGATAATGCTGATTGCAAGGGAAGGTGAGGTGAGGTGAGGTAAAATTGGGTTGAACGTCGTACTTGAGAATATTTCGCTCATATGACGACATGCATGCGTGTGTATGGGTATGTGCGGCTGCTTGTACTAGCCCAGACGGAAGCTGGTTTTATAGTGCTAGCCCACTGAGATACCATGCCACAGTGAAGCATGAATACCCCACTCAGACACATTATACTGACTCCGAGCCGACCAGTCCTTGTTGTACCCATTAATGCCGAGCGCGAGTCAGGGACAAACAAGTACCATATTTTTACGTCTTTTGGTATGACGCGGCCGGGGATCGAACCCGCGACCTTCCGCTCTCCGGGGAGGACACTCTAACCACTTCACCACGGAGGCGGTCTCATTGCAAGGGAAGGGAACATGGGACTTTTTAAATGTCTATTGGCACATCAACCACAGGATCGACCCACTGACCCTCAGTTCTACAGGCAAAACAATACAGCAATCACAACCCAAAGGTGGTTCTTAAACAACTCACTTGGCCCATTCTACATTCAGTATAAGATGATCGTAGCCAAATCCAGACACTCCAGCGATGGCACGTGCAGCATCTTCGCGTCGATGGAAATTGATGAAAGCAAATCCCTGGAATACACACAAGTTGAACATCAATTACAACATTAAAACCAAAGTTTATATATGATCAACAAGCAGTTTTCATTCAAGTAACTTGTCAATTGCGAACATTTGCTGCATTGCAACAACAAAGCAACCGAACACTATCATACCATTCTAGCAGTCTGAAAAATATGTAAATGTCAAATGTGTGAGCGAGTGAGTGAGTGAGTGAGTGAGTGAGAGCGCGAGATGGGAACACCAGAAATGTATCCATGTGAAAATTGAACCTGTGCCTTCAACATAGGCAGGTGTGGAAATAACTTTAAAATTGCTAGTGTACTCCGGTACAGTGGCACATGTAAAATCACTTGCCCTGATAATTTTACCACTATACCGGCCGTTTTCTTGTTGATTTTTTAAATAAACAACATAATTAATATTGGAAAGTCAACTGGACACCGGTACAGTGTGATATACAAATTTGCTTGCCTAACAGAAAAAAACACTGGACTCGGGCGTCGGGCAATGGGTTATTTCCACCCCTGATAAGGATATATGCGTCAGCCTCAGGGCGACCTGACCAAATCATATGAAATCTATGAATCCTTAGAAACGATTCCTGTACAACTTGGGAGGAGGGAGTTTCACTACTGTTATCATGGGCGGATCTAGGAATTTTGAAAGGGGGGATTCAGGGGATTTGAATCCCCTGAAACCCACTTTGGCTCTGCCAATGCAAAAAAAAATCTTCAATGTGGTCTAAAGTCATTTTCAAAAGGGGGTTCAAACCCCCTGGAAACCACACACACACACCCCCACACACACACCCACGCCAATGGTTATTGAGGCTTAGCAATGTACCCATGGCATGAAACAGCCTGATCAACACTGACTGGGATTAACATGGGATTGATTTGACCTCCAATGATTATGAGATCAATCACTGTCTAGGACTATGTCCCTTGCCCTGGAGGTTCACCTAATGAGTCAGATTGCTACACTTCTGTGGGTATTTCACATGGGTTCAATCATCACAATACGAACATGGAAGTTTGGCACTTTTGCGGATTCCATAAAGTTCAGTGTAGCCTTGTAGTTTAAATCTGTACCAGAGCAACAGTGACCCAGCAGTAACTGGGTACCTGGCAGGATTAGAGTGAGTGAGTTAAAGTTGTACATCACATCGGCAATATTTCAGCCATATCATGGCGATAAAAATATACTAAGAATATATATATATATAGATATATACATATATAAGAAGTTTCTGAAATAATCACATGACACGGATCTTCTCCAACATGTTTCACTTTTATCTTCGGGGGGGGAGAAGTGATTACAGTTAAACGGATTATGTTATGATGTCACAATGCAACTATACAAATGTTGTGACGCGGCGTTGCCATGACGTCACATTGGCGGCTTTAAATTGACAGTACTAGTAGCACAATGAAAACAAGTATAATTCAGACACAATGCGTTACCTATTTAACGATGGACACAATTCTTTAATGAAAAAGTTTTCTTTAGCTTTACGCTGCATGTATACTTTTTAAAATGCTGTCAGTGAAGGACAGAATAACAACTCAATCATCACAGATTATAACTAAAACTAGTTTAAGATAATTTTAAAATGCTAAATCATTTTTCCAACAACACAATATAAAATCAGGCTATCAGGCCAGCAATCAAAGTTAGGCAAGGCAGGATTAGATGGTGATGTGACCCCATAATGCAGCTTGCGCTGTGAGCACCCCAGAGAGTTGAAAATGGGATTCTAGTGCTATCTGATCCATTCACCAGGGAAATCATGTGTGATGCAGATTTTGAGCTTTACAAATAGGTACATTGTTGCTGTCATTATTCAAGAATTCCCTAGAATTTGGACGTGCATATCTTTGTTTTGTTCACTAGGATGGGTCATGGAAAGGAATTAAAACTCTTTGATACCCAAGATTCAGTGAGGGAGTGAGTGAGTGAGTATGTTTTTACGCAACTTGTGGTAATATTTCAGCAATATCACAGCTTGGGGGTGGGGGTGGGGTGGGGAGAGAAGAGGAGGAGAGGAGAGAAACCACCAGAAATGGGCTTCATACATTGTACCCATGTGGGGAATCGAACCCGGGTCTTCAGTGTGACAGCGGACACTTTAACCATCAGGCTACCCCACAGCCCCCTCATGATTCAGGGTGGAAATGATCAGAAACATCAGTTATGTATTTATTCATGAATGCAAGTGGGTACCCAGGAGTGTAGTGTTTACTCAGGAGTGTAGAAGCTGTCCGTCACTGTGTACATTATTTTGAAAATACAATAACGTGAATTCCTGGAACTATTTTGAATATCGTGAATTCCATAAGAGGTATGGCATGTCATGTGGCTGGGATTAACATGACCTCTTGTCCATGGAAAGCTGTACATCATGTAAACTTTACATCCAAACATCCTGGAACTATTTTGAATATCATGTCCTTGTCACCAGGCATTTGAGTTGACAACCACTCAGTGTCCATTTGCAGTCACCTTAGAAGAATGTTCCCATGGCATGAAACAGCCTGATCAACACTGACTTGGCTGGGATTAACATGGGATTGATTTTACCTCCAATGATTATGAGATCAATCACTGTCTAGGACTATGTCCCTTGCCCTGGAGGTTCACCTAATGAGTCAGATTGCTACACTTCTGTGGGTATTTCACATGGGTTCAATCATCACATAACGAACATGGAAGTTTTGGCACTTTTGCAGATTCCATAAAGTTCAGTGTAGCCTTGTAGTCTAAATCTGTACCAGAGCTACAGTGACCCAGCAGGAACTGGGTACCTGGCAGGATTAGAGTGAGTGAGTTAAGTAGTACATCACATCGGCAATATTTCAGCCATATAGTGGCGATAAAAATATACTGAGAATATATATATAGATATATAGATATATACATATATGAGAAGAAGTTCCTAAAATAATCACACCACGACGGATCTTCTCCAACATGTTTCACTTTCATCTTCAGGGAGAAGTGATTACAGTTAAATGGATTTTGTTATGGCGTCACTTTGTCATGGCGTCCACAATGCAACTGTATACAAATGTTGTGGCCTTGGCGTTGCCATGGCGTCACATTGGCTTTTAATTTGACAGTACTAGTAGCACAATGAAAAACAAGTATAATTCAGACACATTGCGTTACCTATTTAACGATGGACACAATTCTTTAATGAAAAAGTTTTCTTTAGCTTTACGCTGCATGTATACTTTTTAAAATGCTGTCAGTGAAGGACAGTATAACAACTCAATCATCACAGATTATTATTAAAACTAGTTTAAGATCATTTTAAAATGCTAAATCATTTTTCAACAACACAATATAAAATCAGGCTATAAGATCACCAGCAAACAAAGTTAGGCAAGGCAGGATTAGATGGTGATGTGACCCCATAATGCAGCTTGCGCTGTGAGCACCCCAGAGAGTTGAAAATGGGATTTTAGTGCTGTCTGATCCATTCACCAGGGAAATCATGTGTGATGCAGATTTTGAGCTTTACAAATAGGTACATTGTTGCTGTCATTATTCAAGAATTCCCTAGAATTTGGATGTGCATATCTTTGTTTTGTTCACCAGGATGGGTCATGGAAAGGAGTTAAAACTCTCTGATATCAAGATTCAGTGAGTGAGTAAGTATGGTTTTAAGAAACTTTTGGTAATATTCCAGCAATATTATGGCAGGGGACACCAGAAATGGGCTTCACACATTGTACCCAAGTGGGGAATCGAACCCGGGTCTTCAGTGTGACAGCGGACAATTTAACCATCAGGCTACCCCACAGCCCCCTCATGATCCTGTGTGGAAATGATCAGAAACATCACTTATGTATTTATTCATGAATGCAAGTGAGTTCAATGGGGTTTACCTAGGAGTGTAGATGCTGCCTGTCACTGTTTACATTATTTTGAAAATACAATAACGTGAATACCTAAAGAGGTATCTTCCTGTGGAGACCTCTTGTCCATGGAAAGCTGTACATCATGTAAACTTTACATCCAAACATCCTGGAACTATTTTGAATATCATGTCCTTGTCACCAGGCATTTGAGTTGACAACCACTCAGTGTCCATTTGCAGTCACCTTAGAAGAATGTTCCCATGGCATGAAACAGCCTGATCAACACTGACTTGGCTGGGATTAACATGGGATTGATTTTACCTCCAATGATTATGAGATCAATCACTGTCTAGGACTATGTCCCTTGCCCTGGAGGTTCAGCTTCTTGTGTGTGGAGCATCTCCAACACAATAGTCATACAACCAAATCTAAGTGGCAGTCTTCTCACATGAATGAAACACTGTAATACTGATTGCCTTATGGATGAAATATACTAGTAAACAAACATTACTTCAGTTCTGTATTTCCAGCGTGAAGCTGTCCCCAGCCTACTTAAATATTTTGATATGCACACAACATGGTTTCAGAATTAATATATTATTCTTGCTTCAAAGTAAATTCAAAGGTTTAGTCAGCAAGATTCATGTCCTAAATCACTTATATAGACCACAAAATTGTTTTTGGTTTTTAATGCTGCACTCACTAATATTCCAGCTATATGACAGCAGTCGGGTCTGGACCAGACAATCCAGTGATCTACAGAATGATCATTGATCCACACAACTAGGATACAATGACATGTGTAAACTAAGTCAGCGAAAGTTACAGTGATATCAACTTGTACATGTTCCCATGGCATGAAACAGCCTGATCAACACTGACTTGGCTGGGATTAACATGGGATTGATTTGACCTCCAATGATTATGAGATCAATCACTGTCTAGGACTATGTCCCTTGCCCTGGAGGTTCACCTAATGAGTCAGATTGCTACACTTCTGTGGGTATTTCACATGGGTTCAATCATCACATAACGAACATGGAAGTTTTGGCACTTTTGCGGATTCCATTAAGTTCAGTGTAGCCTTGTAGTCTAAATCTGTACCAGAGCTACAGTGACCCAGCAGGAACTGGGTACCTGGCAGGATTAGAGTGAGTGAGTTAAGTAGTACATCACATCGGCAATATTTCAGCCATATAGTGGCGATAAAAATATACTGAGAATATATATATAGATATATAGATATATACATATATGAGAAGAAGTTCCTAAAATAATCACACGACACGGATCTTCTCCAACATGTTTCACTTTCATCTTCAGGGAGAAGTGATTACAGTTAAACGGATTTTGTTATGACGTCACTTTGTCATGACGTCACAATGCAACTGTATACAAATGTTGTGACGCGGCGTTGCCATGACGTCACATTGGCGGCTTTAATTTGACAGTACTAGTAGCACAATGAAAACAAGTATAATTCAGACACATTGCGTTACCTATTTAACGATGGACACAATTCTTTAATGAAAAAGTTTTCTTTAGCTTTACGCTGCATGTATACTTTTTTAAAATGCTGTCAGTGAAGGACAGTATAACAACTCAATCATCACAGATTATTATTAAAACTAGTTTAAGATCATTTTAAAATGCTAAATCATTTTTCAACAACACAATATAAAATCAGGCTATAAGATCACCAGCAAACAAAGTTAGGCAAGGCAGGATTAGATGGTGATGTGACCCCATAATGCAGCTTGCGCTGTGAGCACCCCAGAGAGTTGAAAATGGGATTTTAGTGCTGTCTGATCCATTCACCAGGGAAATCATGTGTGATGCAGATTTTGAGCTTTACAAATAGGTACATTGTTGCTGTCATTATTCAAGAATTCCCTAGAATTTGGATGTGCATATCTTTGTTTTGTTCGCCAGGATGGGTCATGGAAAGGAGTTAAAACTCTCTGATATCAAGATTCAGTGAGTGAGTAAGTATGGTTTTATGCAACTTTTGGTAATATTCCAGCAATATTATGGCAGGGGACACCAGAAATGGGCTTCACACATTGTACCCAAGTGGGGAATCGAACCCGGGGTCTTCAGTGTGACAGCGGACAATTTAACCATCAGGCTACCCCACAGCCCCCTCATGATCCTGTGTGGAAATGATCAGAAACATCACTTATGTATTTATCCATGAATGCAAGTGAGTTCAATGGGGTTTACCTAGGAGTGTAGATGCTGCCTGTCACTGTTTACATTATTTTGAAAATACAATAACGTGAATACCTAAAGAGGTATCTTCCTGTGGACGACCTCTTGTCCATGGAAAGCTGTACATCATGTAAACTTTACATCCAAACATCCTGGAACTATTTTGAATATCATGTCCTTGTCACCAGGCATTTGAGTTGACAACCACTCAGTGTCCATTTGCAGTCACCTTAGAAGAATGTTCCCATGGCATGAAACAGCCTGATCAACACTGACTTGGCTGGGATTAACATGGGATTGATTTTACCTCCAATGATTATGAGATCAATCACTGTCTAGGACTATGTCCCTTGCCCTGGAGGTTCAGCTTCTTGTGTGTGGAGCATCTCCAACACAATAGTCATACAACCAAATCTAAGTGGCAGTCTTCTCACATGAATGAAACACTGTAATACTGATTGCCTTATGGATGAAATATACTAGTAAACAAACATTACTTCAGTTCTGTATTTCCAGCGTGAAGCTGTCCCCAGCCTACTTAAATATTTTGATATGCACACAACATGGTTTCAGAATTAATATATTATTCTTGCTTCAAAGTAAATTCAAAGGTTTAGTCAGCAAGATTCATGTCCTAAATCACTTATATAGACCACAAAATTGTTTTTGGTTTTTAATGCTGCACTCACTAATATTCCAGCTATATGACAGCAGTCGGGTCTGGACCAGACAATCCAGTGATCTACAGAATGATCATTGATCCACACAACTAGGATACAATGACATGTGTAAACTAAGTCAGCGAAAGTTACAGTGATATCAACTTGTACATGTTCCCATGGCATGAAACAGCCTGATCAACACTGACTTGGCTGGGATTAACATGGGATTGATTTGACCTCCAATGATTATGAGATCAATCACTGTCTAGGACTATGTCCCTTGCCCTGGAGGTTCACCTAATGAGTCAGATTGCTACACTTCTGTGGGTATTTCACATGGGTTCAATCATCACATAACGAACATGGAAGTTTTGGCACTTTTGCGGATTCCATTAAGTTCAGTGTAGCCTTGTAGTCTAAATCTGTACCAGAGCTACAGTGACCCAGCAGGAACTGGGTACCTGGCAGGATTAGAGTGAGTGAGTTAAGTAGTACATCACATCGGCAATATTTCAGCCATATAGTGGCGATAAAAATATACTGAGAATATATATATAGATATATAGATATATACATATATGAGAAGAAGTTTCTAAAATAATCACACGACACGGATCTTCTCCAACATGTTTCACTTTCATCTTCAGGGAGAAGTGATTACAGTTAAACGGATTTTGTTATGACGTCACTTTGTCATGACGTCACAATGCAACTGTATACAAATGTTGTGACGCGGCGTTGCCATGACGTCACATTGGCGGCTTTAATTTGACAGTACTAGTAGCACAATGAAAACAAGTATAATTCAGACACATTGCGTTACCTATTTAACGATGGACACAATTCTTTAATGAAAAAGTTTTCTTTAGCTTTACGCTGCATGTATACTTTTTAAAATGCTGTCAGTGAAGGACAGTATAACAACTCAATCATCACAGATTATTATTAAAACTAGTTTAAGATCATTTTAAAATGCTAAATCATTTTCAACAACACAATATAAAAATCAGGCTATAAGATCACCAGCAAACAAAGTTAGGCAAGGCAGGATTAGATGGTGATGTGACCCCATAATGCAGCTTGCGCTGTGAGCACCCCAGAGAGTTGAAAATGGGATTTTAGTGCTGTCTGATCCATTCACCAGGGAAATCATGTGTGATGCAGATTTTGAGCTTTACAAATAGGTACATTGTTGCTGTCATTATTCAAGAATTCCCTAGAATTTGGATGTGTATATCTTTGTTTTGTTCACCAGGATGGGTCATGGAAAGGAGTTAAAACTCTCTGATATCAAGATTCAGTGAGTGAGTAAGTATGGTTTTATGCAACTTTTGGTAATATTCCAGCAATATTATGGCAGGAGACACCAGAAATGGGCTTCACACATTGTACCCAAGTGGGGAATCGAACCCGGGTCTTCAGTGTGACAGCGGACAATTTAACCATCAGGCTACCCCACAGCCCCCTCATGATCCAGTGTGGAAATGATCAGAAACATCACTTATGTATTTATCCATGAATGCAAGTGGGTTCAATTGGGTTTACCTAGGAGTGTAGATGCTGCCTGTCACTGTTTACATTATTTTGAAAATACAATAACGTGAATACCATAAGAGGTATCTTCCTGTGGACGACCTCTTGTCCATGGAAAGCTGTACATCATGTAAACTTTACATCCAAACATCCTGGAACTATTTTGAATATCATGTCCTTGTCACCAGGCATTTGAGTTGACAACCACTCAGTGTCCATTTGCAGTCACCTTAGAAGAATGTACCCATGGCATGAAACAGCCTGATCAACACTGACTTGGCTGGGATTAACATGGGATTGATTTTACCTCCAATGATTATGAGATCAATCACTGTCTAGGACTATGTCCCTTGCCCTGGAGGTTCAGCTTCTTGTGTGTGGAGCATCTCCAACACAATAGTCATACAACCAAATCTAAGTGGCAGTTTTCTCAAATGAATGAAAAACTGTAACATTGATTGCTTTATGGATGAAATATACTAGTAAACAAACATTACTTCAGTTCTGTATTTCCAGCGTGAAGCTGTCCCCAGCCTACTTAAATATTTTGATATGCACACAACTTGGTTTCAGAATTAATATATTATTCTTGCTTCAAAGTAATTCAAAGGTTTAGTCATCAAGATTCATGTCCTAAATCACTTATATAGACCACAAAATTGTTTTTGGTTTTTAATGCCGCACTCAGTAATATTCCAACTATATGACAGCAGTCGGGTCTGGACCAGACAATCCAGTGATCTACAGAATGATCATCGATCCACACAACTAGGATACAATGACATGAGTAAACTAAGTCAGCGAAAGTTACAGTGATATCAACTTGTACATGTTCCCATTGCATGAAACAGCCTGATCAACACTGACTTGGCTGGGATTAACATGGGATTGATTTTACCTCCAATGATTATGAGATCAATCACTGTCTAGGACTATGTCCCTTGCCCTGGAGGTTCAGCTTCTTGTGTGTGGAGCATCTCCAACACAATAGTCATACAACCAAATCTAAGTGGCAGTTTTCTCAAATGAATGAAAAACTGTAACATTGATTGCTTTATGGATGAAATATACTAGTAAACAAACATTACTTCAGTTCTGTATTTCCAGCGTGGAGCCGTCCCCAGCATACTTAAATATTTTGATATTTTGTATCAAAGTAAATACAAATGTTTGTCCATGAAGAGTCATGTCCTAAATAACTTATATAGACCACAAAATTGTTTTTGGTTTTTAATGCCGCACTTAATAATATTCCAGCTATATGACAGCAGTGGGGTCTGGACCAGACAATCCAGTGATCTACAGAATGATCATCGATCCACACAACTAGGATACAATGACATGAGTAAACTAAGTCAGCGAAAGTTACAGTGATATCAACTTCTACATGTTCCCATGGCATGAAACAGCCTGATCAATACTGACTTGGCTGGGATTAACATGGGATTGATTTTACCTCCAATGATTATGAGATCAATCACTGTCTAGGACTATGTCCCTTGCCCTGGAGGTTCAGTTTGGTTTAATTCAAAACTCAGCAGACCATGTCATCACTGATGCTGCCATCATCATGGTTACAGAAAATCTCAGCATGACAGAGATAAGAAATGCCAAATTTACCTTAGATTGTCCTGTGTTCTTGTCTTTTGCCAAATAGATCCTTGAAATGGGTCCGAAGGGTCTGAACAGCTCCTGTAGATCCGACTCCCTGGTGTCCTCAGACAGGTTGGTCACACGGATAGTGGCAGCCTCATCTGCAACAGGTCATAGTTTAATTTAGTCAGTAAGTGAGTTTGGTTTCACGCCGGACTTAGCAATATTCCAACAATATCAAAGGAGTGGACAACAGAAATTGGCTTCACATATTGTGCATACAAGGAGAATCGAACCGAGGTCCCATTTCACAAAGCTATCGTAACTCTACGACTGTTGTACGTCCTATCCTGTAACATAGACTTATGACAGTCGTAGTGCTACGATAGCTTTGTGAAACGGCCCTGGGTCTTTGCCGTGACAAGAGACTGACTGACTGACTGAGTTTGGTTTTACGCCGCTTTTAGCAATATTCCAGCAATATCACGGCGGGGGACACCAGAAATGGGCTTCACACATTGTGCCCACGTAGGGAATCGAACCCGGGTCTTCGGCGTGACGAGCCAACGCTTTCACCACTAGGCTACCCCACCGCCCCCGTGACAAGAGAAGGCTTTAACCTTTAAGTTAGGAAGGAGGAAGGAGGGTTTGGTATATATAGTCTGAGCACAACACATCACATCAGCCTGTCTTGATTCAAATCTGGGAAATGGAAAAGATGGTGAAATTATCTTGATTATTTGCATTTTGACAGTCCTTATTAGTGGCTATTATTTGACACAACTCAACGACAGTGCCGGTATAATGCACCAGCCTGTAGATAATGGGGGATGGCACATTCAAACAACTGATAGCACAAGCAATGGCCTCCACTCACACATAATGACATGTATCAGTCAGATCACACATTTGAATCTTTTGGCATCACATTTAAGTCCAACAAGGACAAATGTGGGGCGATCTCCACTTGGTCCAAAACAATAACCAGTGAAACATATTCTGACCTGCATTCCCCACTGGGTCACTAAATCAAAAAAGCCTATTCTGTCCATTGGGTCCATTACAACAAGCATGAGGAACCCACGATCCAGTTGTCCCAGAATTTCCATTGACTCACTAAAACCAGATGTGGTACTGAGGACCTGGTTTGTTATACTTGACATGTCTGTCCCAAATGATCGCTGGGTTGGAGTGAGTGAGTTTAGTTTTATGCCGTTTTTAAGCAATATTCCCGCAATATCCCGGCGGGGAACACCAGAAATGGGCTCCACACATTTTACCCATGTAGGGAATCAAACCTGGGTCTTTGGCGTGACGAGCGAACCCTTTAACCACTGAGCTACCCCACTGCCCCTTTGTTCAATACAGACCCAAGAAGATCCGGGGTGGAATAGGTCTTCAGCAACCCATGTGCTTGCCATAAAAGGCGACTATGCTTGTCGTAAGAGGCGACTAACGGGATCTGGTGGTCAGTTTCACTGACTTGGTTGACACATGCCATCGGTTCCCAATTGCGACGATCGATGCTCATGCTGTTGATCACTGGATTGTCTGGTCCAGATTCGATTATTTACAGACCGCCGCCATATAGCTGGGATATTGCTGAGTGCGGCGTAAAACTAAACTCACTCACTTTGTTCAATACAAGCATTGTTCACGAGGACCTCTACAGTTCGGACACTGACCTTTCCTCTGCGTGGACATCGACTCTCCTCTACCCTTGGATGCTCCTTCTCTCAGACTTGGGGGTACGTACTTCCCAGCAGTCTTGGCAATGGCACTGGGTCCGGCGGCAGCAGCGGTCGGATTTGCCCCAGCAGCTGCATCACCTGGTGGCTTCCCATCCTCGGCCAACTTCTCCTGCAGCGGTGCCAATGTGTCCTTGTACGGACACCGAGTTGTCCAATGGTCACCTTTACAGATACGACATTGAACAATCTTCTGTGTCTTCAACTTGTTGAGCGGGTCTTCCTCCTCTGGGGCCTGGTTCTGGAGCAACAATGGATGGATGGATGGACATTCTGGGACACACACTCACGTGAGGCTGCGAACTTGGGTCTTTAATGTGATGAGCAAGCGCTTTAATCACTAGGCTAACACAAATGGGCATCCCAACCAAAATACTGGTGATCTGACACTTAAGTTTTTGTTAATATTTAATCTTGATGGAAAATTGAATCAATATTCTACAATCTTATTGTTCTTAATCTGTGTTATTGTGAACATGATCTGACTTACATCTTTGTTCTGCACAAACTGCATGACAATCTCTTCAGATATGATGGTGTTGGAAGAGTTGGGACCTGGGGGGTCTCTCTCTGCAGCACCGAACTTCCTCCATGTCTGAAACATGCCAATATTTAACAATTTTCCTGCATTATCACGGCAGGGACACCACACACTGTAACCTGTGGGGAATCAAACACGAGTCTTCAGCATGGTGCAAGAAGTTTTAACATTCTACATCGCACTCTGAGTGAGTGAGTGAGTGAGTTTACTCCACTTCTGGCAATATTCCAGCAATATTCCAGTAATATCACAGCAGAGGACATCTGAAATGGGCTTCACACATTGTGCCCATGTCGGGAATCGAATCTGGGTGTTCGGCGTGACGAGCAAACACTTTAACCGCTAGGCTACACCACCGCCCCTTGCATTCTGAACATGAATACCCCGCTCTGACTAAGTTTATTGACTGACCCACGAAAGGTCAGACAGGCTAAGGACAAGCACACATTACAACACCTTTTGGCCTGACATGGCAGAAACTTTATCCACCAGGCCACAAAGAATATCACGAAGTCTCAAAATTGTAGGAGTTCAAACGGCAATGATGCAAATGTGTTTGACCACAACCTCTACGATGACCTCAGCCTGACTGACATGCCAACTACATTCAGGCTCAAAATAAACTTAAATCAGATTTTCCAAGACAGGTAAAATTAAGAATGGAATTGTGATGTTTCCTCTAGGACGTATTTCACCTTAGTTTTAGTGAGTGACTTTGGTTTAACGTCATTTTTAGCAATATTCCAGCAATATCAAGGCAGGGGACACCTGAATACTGTAACTGCACTGAGGATGAACTAGGTGATATTGAAGATTCTAAACTACAACTTAATATAAGCGACACTTTGTTCTTAGAAACATTTTTAATGAAAGTGAGGGGGAAAACAATATCATTCTCTTCCTACTTAAAAAAAATCAAAACTGAAAAAAGCAAAAATTTAGAAGGAAACATTTTGGCAATGGAAGAAGAAATCAGAGAAAATTTCCAAACCATATGTGAAACTAAACTTTCTGAACTATCCAAATGTAAATTAGAGTTTGAAAAATTAAAAGAAGATGAAATAAGAGGTATACAGATAAGAAATAGAATTCAGTGGTACGAGGAAGGAGAAAAACCAACCAACTATTTCTGTCATCTCGAAAATAGAAATTATACCAGTAAGCTTATGAATAGTGTTCTCAATGACAAAGGGGAAGTAATATCAGATGGTAAGGCTATATTAAATGAACAAAGGCAATTTTATGAAAATCTATACTCATCAGGTGGTAAAATAACAGATAAATATATTAATATATTTGATGATATTATTACACCCAAACTGCACACTGTACAGGCTGAAAATCTTGAGGGTGATATTACTATAGATGAAATAACAGGAGCCGTTAAATCAATGAAAAATAACAAAAGCCCAGGAGTAGATGGTTTCCCAATAGAATTGTTTTAATTTTTCTGGAAAGATCTTCATATTTGGGTTTGTAGATATATATCAGAAGCATTCAGGCAAAATATGTTAAGTCCAACAATAAACAGAGGCGTCATCACATGTATCCCAAAAGCTAACAAAAATAGACAGTTGTTAAAAACTGGCTCAATTTCCCTACTGAATTCTTTGTATAAAATACTCAGCACATGTATAGCCAATAGAATTAAAACAACATTGAATACTCTTATTCATGAAACTCAGACAGGTTTTATACCTGGAAGGTGTATTAGCGAGAACATTAGATTATTATACGACATTATGTTTGAAGCAAAGTACAAGATAAAAGGGACTCTTGTTGCTTATTGACTTTGAAAAAGCTTTTGACACTGTCTCTAAAGAATTTATAATTTTAACAATTGGAAAGTTTGGCTTTGGACCCAATATGGAAAAATGGATCAAAATATTAACCAATAATGCTACATCATGTGTTAAACAGAATGGTCATTTATCACAATTTTTGACAATGAAAGGGCTGTAGACAAGGGGACCCAGTCTCTCCCTATATATTCATCTTAGTGGCTGAAATTTTAGGAATAATGATCCGTAACAACGCTGCAATAAAAGGAATTACATTGAATAACACTGAACATAAAATTGGACAGTATGCAGATGATACTGAATTATTTCTCGATGGTGAAAGAAAGTTTAAGGGCAGCAACTGACACTCTCAATAATTTCTACAAAATGTCTGGTTTAAGAATAAATATAGATAAAAGCGAAAAGCAGTGTGGATAGGCTCAATGGCAGGTAGTAGCATGATTTTATGCCAGGATCTTAAGCTTGATTGGCATAATGGGGACTTTGATATTCTAGGAATAAGACTTAATCCTAATTTAAATAACCTTTGGGTAATTAATACAAGAAAAAGACTAGAAATTATTAATAGAACTCTAGGGGTTGGAGGAAAAGAAAGTTGACATTAATAGGAAAATAACTGTTATTAAAACTTTAGCACTTTCATCATTGGTGCATATATTCACCTCACTCCCAAATCCTCCAAAGGAATTCATTGACAAATTAAACAATATATTTTATAAATTCATCTGGAATGATAAGCGGGATAAGATAAAGCGAATCGACACTTATTAGAAAATATGAAGAGGGGGGACTCAGAATGGTTAATGTACAGGTATTCATAAACTCTTTAAAACTGTCAGTTTTACATAAATATCTTCAAAATAATAGCAGTTCTAGCCCTAATATCTTTCCATTTAAAGATATATTTCTGCTTGGAGCCAATATTGAAAACTATGTCAGTATTATGAATCCCTATTGGAAAGATGTATTGGCTGCATGGGGAATATTCTATAAAACACATCAAACTGATTTTACAGATATTGATCAAATCTTATCTCAACCCCTTTGGTTCAATCACCAATTCCAAAATAGTAATTTCATTATAAGACATTGGCATCTCAAAGGTATTCACTCTATAAGAGACTTGTGTAATGATCAAGGTATTTTGCCATTTAGTGAACTTAAGAAAACTTACAAAATTAAAGGCACAATTCTTGACTATTACCAGGTTCTTTCAAATATACCCCAAAAATGGAAAGAAACTATAAGAAAGAATTTATTGATTGTTCATAATCATTATCTTAACACATGACTGATAGATTTACTTTCAGCACCAAAGAGATCCAAATATTTCTATGACAAACTTATAACTACTGAAAACCTACCATCAACATGTGAAAAATGGCAAAATATCTTTGATATTGCAATTCCATGGCAAGATATTTTTAGAAAATATAGAAGATGTACAAAAGATACCAAATTGATTGACTTCCAGTTTAAATTTATCCACAATATTGTCTACACAAAAAAAGAATTATTGAGAATGAAATTAGTAGATGATGAACTTTGCTCATTTTGTAATTTAATGTCAGAAAATTTGATACATGTTTATTGGGAATGTGAATGTGTGAAAACGTTCTGGCTGAAAGTGAAAGAATATATTGAAGATAAATCATCAGAAAATTTTACCCTGACAAAATATAGTCTTAATTGGCGGATACAATAACGATCTTATGAATCACATACTTCTTGCCAGTAAAAAATATATCCATATATCAAGTATTAAAAAAAATAAATTATCACTGGATACATTTGTAAAAATATTGAGTGATATCTTCAAGACAGAAAAGTTTATTGCCAGTAAGAATCAAAACATATTACAATTTGACAGAAAATGGTCATCTCTACTGCACACATTCCCAGCCTAATGAAGATCCCAATATGTGTTATGCCAACCCATATGAATTTCTCTCCTACGGTGTACAAGTGTTGTTGCATCATGTGCTTTGTATACATGTATCTACTGATTTTGAATGAATAATAAAAAAAAAAAAAAAAAAAAAAAGGCAGGGGACACCAGAAATGGGCTTCACACATTGTACCCATGAGGGGAATCGAACCCGGGTCTTCGGCATGACGATCACCTTTGTTTTAGAACTCAAGGTGACAACTTTCAATCAGACAATGCTACACATTTGGTTGTAGTTTAACACCCCACTGAGCATTATCCCAGCTATATAGTCTGTAAATAATCAGTTCTGAACTAGACAATAAAGTCATTGACATTATGGTCGTCGATCCAAACAAGGAAATGCTATCAACCACGTCACAGAGCCTAAGCTCCCTATATGTTGCAATAATTCCTGGGAATACCATCTTTTAAAAAAGACTGACTGACTGACTGAGTTTGGTTTTACGCCGCTTTTAGCAATATTCCAGCAACATCACGGCGGGGGACACCAGAAATGGGCTTCACACATTGTACCCATGTGGGGATTCGAACCCGGGTCTTCGGCGTGGCGAGCCAACGCTTTTACCACTAGGCTACCCCACCGCCCCTTTTAAGATAGATGAAGAACTATGACAAGAAGCAATTGGCTAGCCCTGTTGAACACCATACCTTCCTTCGGGCAATAGACTTGGACACTTTCCTTGTCTCAATGCTGTAGGTCTTCACCACCTGTAAAAAATGACAGATCATAATACTCTAGAAATGTTAAGGATCACCTAATTCTTTCCGGACATATCAATGACTATAATACTGATAACATGGTAAGTCTGTAATTCTTATAGCAGTATACATTAGCAATGCTGTGTGAGTTCGGTTTGCAGTGACAGACACAAATACTAGTCCATTTGTCAGTTTCAAGACTGAGATGTCAGTTTTAAGCCTGAGAGACCAATTTTGTAAAAATATTCAGTTATTTTACTGTCAGTTTCTTGTCCAAAATGAGCTACAGAGTTGTTGGAGTGTCCCCCTCTGTTGGTTATAATACTAAATATACAGTGGAAGCTCTCAAAACCGGCAGCCCTCCAATCTGGCATGCTCTCAATAGCGGCACTAGAATTTGGTCCCAGCAGAAGCTAGTTATTTTATAATCATTTACATGAGCTCTAATCCAGCGTCAGTCTATTCCGTATTCTGGCACAACATAAACCACCCAGTTGACTGTTTATACAGTAATTTACGCTCTCTAAACCGGCATCTGGTAACTCGGCTCTCTTGTTGATAGGCTGATCGTGTATTAAGGCATCAGATGGTTGGCTGGCACGTTGGAAGACACGATATCACATCAAACAGTTCAAAGTGAGCAACGAAAGTGCCAGTGTAGATCAGAGTGATGTTGACAAGTTTAAGTCCCGCCTCTCGACTTTGATTGATGGATATGCGCCTGAAGATGTCTTTAACTGTGATGAGGCTGGTTCATTCTCAGGTTGAAAAGGGAAAAGTTCTCAAAACCGTCACGCCCTCTATACCGGAATTTTTTGCCAGTGCCAACGAATGCTGGTTTAGAGGGATTCCACTGTATATCACTGTGCAACAGCTTGAAGTAGGAGTAAGTAGTTTTACGCCACTTTTAACAATATTCAAACAACATCCAGGTGCCACACTAGAAACGGGCATCACACACTGCTCCCATGTGGGTGACTTAATGAGGAGCTATGAGTCTGCCATGATGAGTTAACACCTCAAGTTATTACCAGGCTTAAGCTTTAAATGATAGGACCGCCTCTGTGGTGTAGTGGTTAGAGCATCCGCCCGAGAGAGTGGAAGGTCGCAGGGTTCGATCCCCGACCGCGTCATACCAAAAGACGTTAAAATATGGTACTTGTTGGTTCCTGCCTGGCGCTCGGCATTAATGGGTACAACAAGGACTGGTCGGCTCGGAGTCAGTATAATGTGTCTGAGTGGGGTATTCATGCTTCACTGCGGCATGGTATCTCAGTGGGCTAGCACGATAAAACCAGCTTCCGTCTGGGCTAGTACAAGCAGCCGCACCTACACATACACACGCACGCACGTCGTCATATGAGCGAAACATTCTCCAGCACGACGTTAAACCCAATTTCACCTCACCTTTAAATGATAAGAATGCCAGAAGTGAAGGTGTTAGGTGTTTATTAATGCCATGTATGCTACGGAACACGACACATTTACTGATTTAGGCTACATCCTTGCACTAATGATGAACAAAAATTGGAAGTGGTTCACTGTGCAACTATGAAAGGGTCATCTTGGCATGTTACAAGTCATAACTTGTGTACCCAGTTGTTTACGCATTACTTTTAAATTGTAGAAATATAGCCTTCAAGTTCAACCTGACATTATTACAATTAAAGTTACTTTAGCACAGAACAGTTATTACTTAAAACTCTGAACATTGCTAAAATACCCTCATTCCTAGAATGATGCTTTAACATGTCTACACATACCAATTACCATATGAGTCATTCTCAAAATTCCGTGCATATTTATGTTATATGTTTGTTTCCGACAAACTTAAGTCAAAATCAGTAATTTGTTTAAGGTAACCAAATTATCTCAGTTAATTCTACACTTCACAGTAACAAACTTGGCCAAAAAATATTTTTATATTTTAATCCCCCAAAACCACCCAATTTTACTCAATTTTCATGTGTCACAACTCCAGTGGTCAATGTGCAATTTGATTTTTTTGGTCTTTTTCATGTTTTTCAAAAGAAATTATTTAACATATCATAATTAAAGATGTTACAGCTACATGCTTGGCGTGGTTTGGACATTTTTGTATGGAAAGTTATTCTGTAAAAAAAAGGTCAAACTTTGTCGCAAGGTTTGACGTCACTACCGTAACATCAACCCAAAATTTGCAATAATGATTACTCCCTGTGCTGTCGTCTAATTCTACTTCATGTTTGCAAGCAATGGCAGCGAGGAAACATGGCTGTGTTACACTGACACAAAAAAAATCATTTTTCTGAATTTTATCACAAAAAATGTGTGTACAAAATATCTGAGATTTTTGCATGTCCTAACTGTTACGGTGGTTACCGCTGAAACCAGTTAATTTTGTGAAGCCAAACAATGCCAAGTACCTTAGACAGTAGGGGAAATCATTTGAAACCATGTGCTGAGTAAACTTTGGGGAGGAGTTATTGTTTTAAAACTGATATTGTTAGTGGCTGTCACTACTGTTCAGTCACTGCCATATCATGGGTTTTGTTACGATAAGGACAGATTTTGTGACGGCAGTGACATTTTCCTAGTTCAATGTTGTTTGTATCTAAATTTTCAATTCAAAGATATCAAATGTTTTTGAATCATTATGTACATTATGTACCGTCACAATGTCACTGCCGTGACATGCAGTCTTTACCTGTTTTTTACATGACAGGGACAACCATAAGTAAATCTTTTGCCTATTACATATTCTTCAAACATTCTAAAATATCTGAATGACAAATTTAATCAAATTATCTTTTAAAGTAAACATACAAAACTGGCTATTAATCAAAATGTCACTACCGTTACAATTAATGCCAATGTCCATGCCATAACATTATCATTTTCCTTATTTAATTAAAATTGATTTATCTGTTTATGTTTGGAATTTGTAGTGCAAACATGTTTGGTAGTAGAGCTTCAAGTCAGCATAATATATTTCATATTCTCATTTTGAATTTTTGGCTACATATTACTTAATATTTGCTTATCAGAAAAGAAATTACTTGTTTGGCTTGTTGGCCCCTTTTCAGCAATAAATATAAAATTTAAAAAACTCATTAGCCATATTATGTTGTAAAACTAAATGTTTTAATATATATCTACATTAAGGGAATATCATCTTTGGATTTTTTTCTTTTCAAAATGACGTTACAAATTTCGTAACAGTAGTGACGCAATTTCGTGAAATTTCTAATAAAAAGGTAAAATATGAAAAATTAAATGTAGTTAAGCTTGCATAATTTATGTTTTGCATATTCAGAATACTATGAATGTAATCAACAACATTTCAAGGTAAAACAAGAAAACAAAATTTACAATTTTTGCGTACATGAAATATGCACGAATTTTGAGAATGACTCATATACATTTTACCTTTCAAACACGTAGAAGTTCAACTGACAAATCAAACACAAGAGTTCAAATCAACATGACCAACAACTGCCCTTACCTTAACAAGTTTGTCATCATCATTGTACTTGTACTCTGTTATCTTCTTCAGTCCATTCTTCTCATCATAGTCCTCATGTGATGGGGGTAAACCCCCAGCTGTTGCAAGAGGGAAGCAGTGAAAATTTAGAAGTAATCTTTTCACTTATAAATGGCCTAAATTATCATACAGGTGAGAGTAAGGTTAGTTTATCATAAAAACTCAAATATTTGATCCTCTTACACAAAAGTACTTCAGCATTTTCCCTTTTATCATGCATACATGATACAATAATTGAAACAATGGCACAATGACACTGATGTGTTTTTATTTTTTATCAAATAGCATATCTGAAAACAATCGAGACAAGGCTACACAAAGAGTCTTATTATTGAGTGAATAGGAGACAGTTTTTTTATTCTAACATCAGCTAAACGTAAGTTTGACACATGAGCTATTTCTAAATTAATGGTTTTTCTATAAAAACGCTTATTTGTCACTATCAGATACATACTAAACCAATTCAATGTATCCGAATTAAGAGCTTATAGGGAGAGAGTTCCGGTAAGAGATCCTACACCAAAGTGTTTGCTCATCACAAAAGCCGGTGTCTGTGTACGCAAGTGTGTGTGTCTACAGTGGCAGTCTTGTGCGTGTAAGGAACTCTAGAAAGAGTTCCTACCAATCCCCTAACCCTAAACCTAACTTAAATTTTGGACTTTTAGTCATTTTGTGAGTTCGGTAAGATCTCCTCCCGTTCCCCCATCCCAAATAATATTTATAAATATACTAAAATTATTAACAACACTTAAGACAACAATCACTAGAGAACTCACAAAATGACTAAAAGTCCAAAATTTAAGTTAGGGCTAGGTTTAGGGTTGGGGGAACGGAAGGAACTCTTTCCCAATATTGCCAATGCACAGCAAAGACTTGGGTCCCAAGACTTGTTGTCTACCCACAACCAAGCCTATTACCAACATATGACCACTTCTCATCATGTATGTATTTACTAGGTATGTACAGTTTGTCTTCTAATGCATCTTGGGCAAAAAAATCTCGTGGTCCTGATGGTGTTTTTGCCAGGCCCAAAGAGCCATATGGCATAAGAGAATAACTTACTATCATCGCCTGCTTCAACCTGCTCAGCCCAGCTGTAGGATTTGCTGAAAACATGTAAAACAGGTTAAAAACATCATAATAAATCAAAATACGTTGACAAAACGTTGCAAATAAAAACATAATATCCCAACTTCGTTTCTAATAACTCACCTATCTTCTAAAGACGGCATGGCGATTTCCGGAAGTGCGCGCAAGAGTGATGTTATATAAAGCTAGGAATTTGTGACTTAAACGATATTAGATCTAAAACAAATAAATAATAGCAACTCAGTAAAACAATGTAACTGTGACGATTTTTAGAAATATATTACAGGTATGTCTAAAACTCTTAACGTATACAGAACTAAAGATATGTGCATATTGCGGTGGCATCTCTTTCGTTCCGGATGTCTTTACAGTTTTCGATAAACTAAAATGTCAAAATTTAGACACCCAGTCGATAAAGTATAGGCTCTTAGTATATCAGTTTTTGTCAGTAGCTTTTGGAAGTAATCATCACCCCAACCGCTATTTTATTTTCTGAAAGACCGTTTGTTTCCGTAGTATCAGGAAAATGCAAATCAGAGTTTAGAAGAACTGATTAATTGTGCGTGTTTCAAGCTCCGGTAGTATCACCTAATACCAATGGCGACTTCCATGCAACAATTTACGCTTGAGGATTGTAAAGGTTGAATATTTTGTCATTATTTGTGCATTTTCAGCTTTGTTTTTTGCACGTGAGAATGCATATTCCATAGCTTGATCGGTTAAACTGAAATATGTTTTCTTTAGCCCTTGAATCGCATGTAGGTTAATGTTAACTAGTAACATTTGCTCCATATTCTCATGGTCTGTTTGTTGTCATTCGAAGACGCTATGTTCGAGTGTGATTGACAATATCACAAGAAATGTTTTAACGTTTATATCCAATGTTCCCTATCAGATTGTATCATTTTACATGTATGTAATACGACACTGCTTAATCTGTAACCAAAATATATTCCACTTTGTAATACCATCATCATGTTTATTGTATTTTTGATGGACACCTAGATCAAGTATACAAATATAGTAAGCAGCCTGCCTAATCACATGTTCTCTGGCAAGCCCCCACCTGATACTGTGTAAGTGATGACTTTCCAAAGATGGGAAGCTCATCCAATTGTCAACTATAGTAAATGGTTGTCAGGCATTTGTGTCCACTGCAATGCATGGGGTAAGACAACCTACCCGTCTCAAAAACAATATTAACAAGCATGTTTTTATGTCATTATCAAAACATTTCTTTCTTTCTTTGATTTGCAAATGTCTAAAACTTGACAACAATCAGTGTTCACAGAGACATTAACAAAACTTCAACATATCAATTGGCAGATTATGACAATAGGTGAACCCAAGGAACCAAACCTGCAGTAGCAAAATGAATTTTTTGTGGCTCCGCTACATGAAATCTTGGCTGTATGACCATGTCCTACCCAGTTGTTTATCTGCCAGCAAATATATTTAAACATTGCACGGAAGGAATAGTGGAGTTGAAAATCCAAAATGAGAATGAACATGATAAATCAACTCTGTCTTCAGTAGCATCTTCCGCAAATTCTGATGAAGACAAGAGCTGTTGTGCATGCCAGCTTATGAAAGTGGCAAAGCCTAATTAAAGCTTTATGATACAGCTATTCACCGCTACCCCTCACTTTGGGATCAGATCAATAACTTAATAAGGGTTATGAAGGTGACAAACAATTTGATTCAGCTTAATACGGTTATATATTTCTGATGTATATCTGCTGACAGGTTCAGTAGTCAGACAAAACTTTGTTAAATGTTTCGGATAATACATTTGTATTGGAAATATAAAGGTTTCTTGTGGGTGATAATTCTTTCATCATAATTAAAACTTAAGCAACAATGCTGCTATAATGTGCAGTGTTTTGCTATGAAAAATTCACTAATCAGGTAGTTCAGTCTTATGTACATGTTAACAAGAACCAATTTCCACCATGTAAACAAAGTGTTATTCTTCCGTCCAAAATGTTAACAATTGTGAAGATTTGATTAGTGGTAATTTTTTTTTTTTTTTTCTTCAAAATATTACATTAGTGGACATCATGTGATGTTCAGATGAAAGTCTGAATTTGGTTATTTGTCTTTTGATTTATGTATTTTCTTCATTCCTTGCAATGAGTTGTCAAAAGTGTTCTTTGTCCTCATAATGTTAAGTAAATAGGAAAAATCTAATATCTACCAACCCCTTTTATGACATAACAGGAAAATTGGATAAATGACACAAACCAATTATTTTTGATGATTGATCGGTTGTAGTGAACCAATCATCAATAATGAGATTTTAACCAATTCCCAACACTTCATCACACCCATATTATTGGGATACCTGTCGTATCGTGGCTTCATCTTATTGTTACAAAAATGAAGGCAATCAGAATTGTGTCTGTTACCGTTTGCCAGAAAGGTTGGTCATGGGTACAGAACCCAGATTATTATCCTTATGTCTGCATCATGTCTGTACTCGGGGGTTCACATCTACGAACCAAAGGCTGTCCCTTAGCCTAATAATAAGCTTCTGAAACAAATAATTCCTTTTATATTGAAAATGAGCCCCAGTGAAATGAGAGATAAACCTGATGAAATGTAGACAGGCTTCATTTTGGGCTTTAGAATTGCAGAAAGGACTCAACAGAAGGGGAAAATAATGCTGTTCGGGGACTGTGAGACAGATTAGTAACTTTCTGATTCAGTGCGTTTTAACAACTTGTAACAGATCCTGCTTGTTATCCCCTGCCGCACCGAAGCGGGGGATATAGTATTAGGCTCCGTCCGTACATACAAATTGGAATATCTTAAGAACCGGTGACTAGATTCTTTTCATATTTGATACCTAGGTTCATCACAGTATAAGAAAGGTCCCAGTCAGGTTTGGTGACCTTGACCTTCATTTCAAGGTCACAAGGGGACTTTAACGTTTTACTCTTGTCAGCGAGATATCTCAAGAACCGTTCTCTAGATTTTCTTCATATTCAACACCAAGCTTTATCTAGGGAAGGTGCAGGGCCCAGTCGATTTTGGTGACCTTCACATAATTTTCAAGGTCATTGCGACACTTTGAAGAATTCAGCATGTTAACCTGCATGTTATTCTTGTCAGCGAGATACCTCAAGAACCGTTCACTGGACTTTCTTCATATTTGACACCAAGCTTCATCTAGGGAAAGTGCAAGGCCCAGTTGATTGTGGTGACCTTCACTTAATTTTCAAGGCCACAAAGACACTTTGAAGTTTTCAGCATGTTAAATTGCATGTCAGCAAATATCGCAAAAATCATTCTCGAGATTTTTTTCATATTTCACACCAAGCTTCATCTAATGAAGGTGCAGGGCCTAGACAATTTTAGGTGACCTTCACATAATTTTCAAGGTCACTGCGACACTTTGAAGATTTCAGCATGTTAACCTGAATTCACTGGATTTTCTTCATAGACTTTCAAGCCTTCCCTTGAATGTTTTTCAATAAGCAATTTCTTTAGTACCATTTTTGCATATTTCATACACTATGACATTCATGTCAAGGTCATAGTCAGTCTTGAAAGTATTTGTGTGTTTGAACAGCTAAAGAGCAAGATATCAAGAGAAGTTGACTGGTCATGTTTTTGTTGACATTTAACTTTATCTTAAACTTTCATTACTTTTTAAGTTTCATTTGATAATTTGCAGCGGGGGATTATGTCACCTTAGTGACAATACTTGTTATAAATAATAATAATAATAAAGGTCATATTTCTCTTCCGCCTAAACCCAAAATTTGCTCAAGGGCCCAGGTCATAGGTTCGTTTGAACAAGAGAGTCTTCAGCTCACTTTGAAATATCTCACAGTCATTGATTTGCTGGATATTTGGTGGGAGTTCATTCCAGAGTGCAGGGCCTGCTTTGGCAAAAGAGTGTTGTTCTTGTTTTGGGGACATTTAGTTCTTGAAGAGAAGCTGACTGCAGTGTTCTCTGAGGTTGGTCGTTCCCCGACCGCGTCATACCAAAAAGACGTTAAAATATGGGACTTGTTGGTCCCTGCCTGGCGCTTGGCATTAATGGGTACAACAAGGACTGGTCGGCTTGGAGTCCGTATAATGTGTCTGAGTGGGGTATTCATGCTTCACTGCGGCATGGTATCTCAGTGGGCTAACACTATAAAACCAGCTTAAGTCTGGGCTAGTACAAGCAGCCGCACATACACATACACATGCATGCACATCGTCATATGAGCGAAATATTCTCAAGCACGACGTAAAACCCAATTTCACCTCACCTCACCACTGAGGTTGGTATCTGGTTATAAGCTGTTACAGATACAGAGGGGCGAGACCATGAAGAGCTTTAAACACGAACATGAGTAATTTGTAAACAATCCAACGGCGAATTGGAAGCCAGTGTAGGTCATACAAGATTGGAATAAAATGCTTGTGTTTGCGTGTTCAACTTATCAATTGTGCTGCCGAGTTCCGTACCTTCCGAAGCTTGCTCAGACATAGTTATTCTAGACACTGTTGTTGTTTCCAGCCTGCCTGAGTGACCTGCTAGAGGCCTTCAAACAACCAGACAATGCAGTACGACTAGAGGAAGCACGGGACAATGCAGGCAATGACATGCTGAAGACAATGCAGATGTTCTTCCCTGTTGCCACACAGATTGAGGTTGCTGTGATTGAAAAATATGGCTTCCGCGGAGATGGAGATGGTAAGCAAATAAAATAATAATAATAAGTTCTTGGTGAGTTCGACTTAGACATATGCTTAGTCTCTGAATATATAATTTTTATTGTAACAAATAAACCCATTCAAATGGAAAAAGAGCCCAGGGCAGACTAGAGATTCAGAACCTGGGGAAATCTAGACTTGCTTCATTTAGGGCTTTAGCACTGCAGGGAGGGCTAGGCTGTAGGGAAAATAATATGGTTCACGGACTGTGAGACAGACTAGGTTCGACTAGGCAGTGCTTCCTGGGTGTCTGGGCTGTGTGTAGAGGGGGCAAGGGCCCTGACCTGATGAGTCTTCCCAGTTGACTGTGCCGGGATCATCCGAACCCTTTTCATCTTAATCTGTAAAACATAATAAGGCTACTTGTACTGAACTCCACTCCACACAGGCATGCTCTGAGCACATACAACATAATAGGCATTATTACCCCGTTAATCCAAGCTGCCTGTGAGGTGGTAGATAGTTAAGTCATAGGACTTATCCCACAGGGTACCCATTCACTGCTACTTGTTACAGGTGAGATCACATGTGTCACATGTGCTTTGTTGTAGGAGTCCAGCTGCCCAACGCACAAAACAGTCAATCAACAGGTGTCACTACACATTTACACTACTGACTTACTACCAGGTTCCGCTATTGATTGTGTGAATCTGTGATCATTGCTTGCCACATATGGCCACTAAATCAGGCATTAGTGGAGCAGTGACTGCTCTGTTTGCTAAAGTATTTCTAACAGGGAGAGGGTGTCAAACATATTGAATACTGTATTCCCCATCATAACCATGTATTCACGTATAAATGTTGCTGTTTTCAGGTATTGTGCGTTTCACTCAGGCTGTCAAACACTACGAGCAGCAAGACCCCGAAGTGGCTCAGTTAAACCAGCAACTACGAACCACTCTGATGCCCCCAGTTCAAGCCCCAACCCCCACTCAGACTATGGCTGAGAACGGCGCCAGATAACCCAGCAGTCGTATCTAGAGATGTCAGCAGCGGAGAGCTGTTGGCATGTTGTCTCAGTACTCTCGTACTATCCAATATGCATGCTTTAAGGCAGACCAGGGTGTGATAACCTGCATCCTTGTTGTCATGTCCACTATGTTTTTTGGTATATTTTCTCTCTGTAGTGGACTAGGTTCCTAAAGGACAACTGCCACTCGGTCTAGTCTTTCCCCCCAGGCATTCACCAGTCCATATCACGATAAGTGTAGGTGCCAGAAGCTGACTAGGTCAAATAATGTAAGGTCGACGTACTATTGTTTCATTCACTAGGCATTTGATGCTGAAGAAGAGTTTGGGTTAAATAGTTTGGATGAAGCTGAGAGAAACTGTGTTCTTTACTCTCCACTCTCTTTGGCTCAGCATTAATTTATAGGGGTTTCCTGTGGATCAATTACATATCTGGGGGAAACACTAGACATACCAGCCTAAGCATTTATACAACTATAAAGTTGTTTTCATATCAGTAAACCAATTTTAGTGTGTCTTTGACAAGATTTTAATTTGTTCTTTTTAGTGTGCCATTGACTTCAGTTACCATGGTAACTTTCATGTAACAATGGTTCTAGCTGGAGATGTCTTAAATGGCATCTGTCAAAAGTTTGCTGAACCTGTGGAAATTAAGAGTGAAATGTTTCCATGACATAATTTCACAAGCATCTATAACAGTCTTGGCATACCTGCTTTGTATGTGAATTGTATGAGAGCTTGAAAGGGTAGATAAGGACAGTGAAACACAATGGCAATGTGTTGTGATTATCATGCTTTGATCATCATTGTCCTAGAGCTACACAGTAATTGATGTCCTGTAATTAGTAATCATTTGATACCTCATCTTATTGTCTGTTTAATGACAAGCTAGACGTAAAGTAGACATGCTGTTGAGTGGTCTTAGAATATATTTAGTAAATGCTACCAGAACATGTGCTCTGTTGGGCAAACCAGTTTGAATATTCTCCTACTCGGTGACATTGGATAGGAACTGAAGCTAGAGTTGAACTTATAATTGCAGAATTGTTGCTATGGTAACTGAATAATCCTATTCCTGATTGAGTTACCTTGTGCAAAGCAAATCAGTTTTGGATTAAATTTGAAATTGTCCCATGTGTAAGAACTGAAGCTAGATTTAACTTCTAGTATGCTGAATGGTTGCTACGGTAACCGAATATTCTAATACTTGGTTGAATGACATTGTTCCAAGCAAATCAATTTGGGGTTTGAATTACATCTGAGATAGTCTCATGTGCAAGAACTGAAGTTAGAGTTGAATGTCTAATCGCTGAATGGTTGCTATGATAACTGTAATTTTAATCAATAGTTATAGCTATGCCCAACAAATGTCATAGGTGCTTTTTCGATGGCTCTGCAGTTCTCATGTATTTTACCATATTAGCACTATTGGTGCGTTTTGTAAACATGTATTGTTTTGTCACTAAGATTCAGTGTTTTACATGCATACGTTATTTTCCTGCAAATATTTCCGTCAGTAGGGACTTTTCACCCTTTTGTACTTTTGATAAATTATGGATATGCAAGAAGATTCATAGCTGGATCATTGGATCATGAGCCAGATCATTGGGAGAAGAAGTATGTTCAAATTTTCGTTGTGAAAGGTGTGACATATTTTTCTTATGTACAAAGTTTGAGACTGTCCTGCTTATGCTAATATTAATATTTTCATTACTAAACACAAGATTTGTTATTTTGAATACATTATGGAGTGAAATGTCACATGATGTCTTGAAAGCCTTGTGTGTTCGCAACATTGTGTTACATCTTGAGTATCATCTGCTGTGGTTCACAGATTTTATCACATATCTATCGCAATATCACTATTATTCACTGGATATAAAACATCTTTTTAATTTTTCTGGGCTTTTCAAGGGAAGAATTGATATAATTTTATTGAATTTTATTGACTTTCCTAACATGACACATCTTTAAATAAGGGTTTTGAATGTGTACAATAAGTCATTTGTCATGTCAATGGTGGCAGTATTGTAAGTAGCATTGTGTCAACTTACATAATGTAACATTTATGGGACATGATTGTAATTTATTCTTTCTCCAGTTGTCTTATATTTTCAGAATCTGACTATTCAATGAACAATGTTTTTCCCCATGGCTTCTGCTGCAGTGGGAAGGTTCAGATTACTGTATTCCATCTAATAAATGTGACAGTATTCATCCTCCTCTTCTTTGTCCCTGGTCTTCTTAAACTTGATTTTATCTCGACGAGACTAGAATATCCCTGTAGAACTTAACTCTAAGACAACAGTTTATATTGAACAAGTCTTTCAAAACCATTAATCAGTCACTATGGAAACCATGCTCTGTGATTACAGGGATACAGACTATCTGGTAGTTGCCGGCAAATCGGTGGATAGGATGATCAGGTTCAGTGACTTAACTGATGGTCATCATAACCAACAGCGCAGATATTTGCTCATGATATCAATTGCTGGTTTATCTGGAACAGGGTTTGCTATTGATAGGCCAATTCATGTATGGAATATTGCTAAATACAGTGTTGAACACTGTTATTGATAGGCTAAGTCATCTATCTGGAATATTACTAAAGGCAGTGTTAAACACTGTTATTGAAAGGCTAAGTCAAATATATGAAATATTCCTAAATACAGTGTTAAACAGTGTTATTGATAGGCCACATCATATGCCTGGAATATTGATAAAGGCAGTGTTAAACACTGTTATTGATAGGCTTAGTCATATATCTGGAATATTCCTAAATACAGTGTTAAACAGTGTTATTGATAGGCCACATCATATACCTGGAATATTGATAAAGGCAGTGTTAAACACTGTTATTGATAGACTAAGTCATATATCTGAAATATTCCTAAACACAGTGTTAAACAGTCAAGCAACAAAATTGCATCTTAGAAGTAAAACTTAATGTCAACTAGCCAGATTAAATAAAACTCTAAAATGTTCAAAATTCTACAAGCCTTTGGGTGTGTTGAGATACCCAGAAAGTTAGTGATGCTCTGTCAGCTTACACACTTGTATTACTGTGTAGGTCACTTATGTATCATAAAGCCTTTGTTTTGCTATTTGGTTTATGAATCCATCTACAACAAATTTAATAAAACCGGGATTTTAACTGAGTTGGGTTTTCTTCAACTTGACAATTCCAGTCATTTATTGCAGTGATAAAACCTGGCTTTATGCTAACCAAAAACAGTTTATATCAAATATATTACAAGCATTTTTTTTATAAATTTTTCTTGAGATTCAAATTATTGCATGGGTTTGGTAAGAACACAGTGATTTGAACTATGCAACCAATTGACACACCTGACAGGCATATAGACCCCACTCTGAAAAAGTCCAAACTATATTCTCAAATACAACCCCATGTGGGTACTATTTGTGAAGCCCATTTCTGGTGTCTCTTCAGTAGTGTAACGAATAATACTGAGCCTAAGTTTACTTTGACTGACTCCAGACTCGATTATTTACACACTGCCGCCATATAGCTGGAATATTGCTGAGTGTGGCATAAAACTAAACTCACTCACTCACTTAGACTGACTACATTGCTGACTTTTACTGACTATTTCACACAAAAATCTAAGGTAAATGCATATATTTGTTCCAATACTTTTCTTTTGTGAGTATATATAGAACTACCATGGAGAATCTCCCCACCACTTAGGCTGGTCATTTGAGGTGACCAATTAAATCAGTACGGTTGGTTTCTTGATTAATGGTGGTGGTCTGTAAGTATCCAAGTCTGGACCAGACAATCAAGTGATCAACATCAACAGTATGAGCGTCGACCAATCGAATCAAGGCGAGGCTAGAAGTCTTAGTTAATTGCATGTTATCATGTCCTGATGGTGTAGATCATGGGTCACTATATCAGTCATTTGATTGTCTAGTCTGGACTCCATTGTTTAAAAGCCAGCATTGCGTAGCTGGAATATTGGTGCATGATAAAAGTTTCTAACAAAAACAATAAACAGCTGTCTTATGTACCACAGTCTGTTTAATGTCCTGTACTAAACTCCATCATCTTGTGGCTAACTTTTGTCAAAATATTGTGATTACATTCACAATCACGCACTTAGGAAATGCATATGGGAATTGGGGAAAGAATTTGCAGCAAACTAACAGAAGATGATTGGTACAAGTTGTGCAATGTTGCAGTAGGCTGTCTGAGTTTAAATCCTAGTTCACTTTGTCATACCTGGACATACACCCGGTTACGTAATAAGAGTCCACCAACCATGCCTTTTCAGTGTTTCAATGTACCAATGCCAACTCCTTTTGACTTAAGCTCTCATGATTTTAGATCAGTTGATCAGTTTATTTGTACAAACTAAAGCAGGAATGTGGACCTTGCTATTGTACGTCCTTTTAATATTTGCTCCTTATGAATCTGTTGACTTGAAATATTGCATTCACATCCAGGAAATACGCTAGTGGTTCATTGTGTCATTGTATTTCTTGCTTAGGCCAGACCAATTTTATTTCTTGTTTTATGGATTTTTGTCCTAAGGCAGGAGGAAAAAATAAATAAATAAAATCACCAGTCAAAGTAATATTCCTTCTACATATTAAAAGTGTTTTACTTTTGGAAATTTGTGAAGTGTATATGGGGCAAAAAACATTCAAAAACAAATTTTCATGTAAGTATACATTTTTGGCCAGTAAAAACATTAGAATTTTATTTTTTGAGCGGGGAAAATTAATTATTTTTTTTCTTATTCTTGAAAAAATATGACCACGGATCCGTAAAACAAGAAATAAAATTGGTCTGGCCTTAAGTTAATTGTAAGAGATGGAGATGTTAAAACAAGCCTTCTTTGTTGTCCTTGTGTATAATAATGTATAAGTGTCCAAAAGGAACACCGTATTTAACTTAATTAGTGCCCACAGTATTCACAACATGTAGTAGTGTTTGTTTGTCGGACGTGATTTCACCCAGTGGAGGGCCATGAACAACACAAACATTCAAGTTACATCAAGGGGACGCAGATGACCAATAAACTTTGTTTCGTCCATTGTCCATTTTTATGCGTATAGAACGCAGGAATTTGCGTCCTGTAAATCCCTGCGTAGATGACCAAGGTGTTTGAGGGAATTGGTCATATATTATAGGCAAGAGGGCAGATGAGATTTAGGGAACGGTCATGAAATAATATTAATGTATTTGGTAAGCTGGAAGAAATGTTACATAATGGAGGGAGGGTGTCAGAAATATTTGCTCGATTGTGTTTTCTGCTTTGTGAGCGCTATTTCTCCAAAGCGATAAAGGTCTAATACCTGCATCACTCTGGGCTTCCTCTTGTGGGCTACAGCTGAAATACTGTTTAAAGCAGCACTTTTAATCCTCTTTGTTTACAACAGTGTTATCTGTTACCAGGAAGCACATCTCTGTGAGAACTCTCTTGGAACCCTTCTCGGAGTAGAAGATTCAGGGTTAGAATAATGAATGTCAAGCTGGAGTGTTTGATCTGTTCCTAAGGTGGTAGTAAGATTATATGTTATGTACTTGTTTATGTCTTGTTATCTGCCCACAGGAGATAAATAACAACAATGGGTTTGCACAAATTTCAACCTGTTTAGGCCTCTGGCTGTATCCAGCATGTGGTCGACAACACAATTTTTACCTGTGTCATGTTTTTCAAAGAGATGAGTTGACATTGAAGTATGATGGACAATGTACGTTGATTGGATTTATTTTGTTATTGGAAAATTAAGTCAAATGAAGGAAGCACATTATCAATGACTGTTGGCCATTTTGGAGTTGAGTCAAGGGAGGTAACTCTGGCAAGTGTCTTTTTACCACCCTTCTCTAATGAAAGCCTAGCTTGCCAATTTTAGGGTACCGGTATATCTGATAGCATTACATGTCTCCACATTCATGCTAATGTAAAAGGGTCAATTAGAAATTTCTGAAATAAGCACATTTTATTTGAAGATGTTGGCAGTGTGTTGCCCACAGGTTATGAATGTTCATCACTATTAGAGACAATTCATTTTGTTGTTTCGTAATGGACAAAGCAAGGAACCTTTAGCTCACTGAACAAGAAATCATAAATCATCACTTTGAAGAAAACCTGTCAAATTGAGATAAAACATTGCAACTGAATTTGTTTTCAGAAATTTTTACTGAATATTCCACTTTCTATTTGTTTTCACCAGCTTGTGAACTTATGGCCGTATCCTTTAATGTATTAACTAGATATTGTTTATAAGAAGGTCATCCATTTCTTCTTTCTCTGGGGCAGTGGGGTAGCCCAGTGGTTAAAGCACTCGCTCGTCACACCTAAGACCTGGGTTCCAATCCCCACATGGGTACAATGTGCACAGCCCATTTCTAGTGTCCCCCTGCCGTGATATTGCTGAAAAGTGGCGTAACACCATACTCACTCACTCTTTCTCTAAGTTTGTATGTTTCAGTATGTGTATTTCAGGGCAAATGTTTTGGAGGTTAATACATCTTATTGATCAAAGTTCATATTGTGTATGTCTTTTTCTTGTGATTTGTTAAATAATTACTTTAAATGCATGGAGAAGAACTTGTATTGAGTTGTTAGAGTTGGTCTGTTTCTATCTCTATGCACGGGATATGCACTGGTCAAATGTAGTGACTAAGATATTCAGGGTGTGGTGGTATCTTAACCCCCTGGGTGCCACAGGAACATATATGTCCTTCCCCTTCAACCCTCAATTTGAAGTCCAATAAAAATCTCGGCATCCAGGGGTTAACATATCAGTTTGCAATACTTAGGCATGACGTCTTTTTTTTTGTTTCTATTTTTTGGGGGGTGGGGGGTGGTGGTGGTTTAGGTGTCCAAAATTCAGGGTAGTACTACAAATAAAGTATAATGAAATAACTTCAATTTTAAGAAAATCATGGATTTGACAAAAAGTGGGGCTTAATAAATAGGGTTTTGTCTTAAATTATTGTGTTTGGGAGTTTTTAGGATAAAGTTCTAGGATTAAAGCAATTTAAATAGGTAAATATTTTGTTTACATTGATAGCCAGAGCAAATAAGTTTAGATTTATACACATTAATTATTCCCTGATGAAAAATAAGTTACAAAAATATCATTCTTTTTATTTTTGGAGTTAAGAAATTCATAAACCAAGTTTATAAATCTGACTGAACTCTCCTACTCACATTTTCTGGGCTCTAAGTAATGTTCAAGCAGGTGA